CTAAATTGGCCCATTTTCAATATATCGCCAATTTGGTCGATAAAATTTCGCCTAGGACGTCTCTTTTCCGACTCTTCCATTCACTTCTGCAACATTTTGCTTAGTCACTCTTTCCTCATTGATTCTTTCTACATGACCAAACCACCGAAGCATTAATTTCTTAATCCTTGTCACAGCATCATCTTGCAAACCACACTCTTCTTTTATCACACAATTTCTCACCCTGTCACTCAGATTCAGTCTTCAGATTCAGATTCTTATTTCACATATCATTTAACTGTTTTCTCTTTCAAAAACCACAACTTTCGTCTTACTTGCATTCACTTTCATACTCATTTCTTTTAACGACCTGTTCATTAAGGTAACAATCATTTGCAACTCGGTCGCCGACGACTAAAAATAACTTGATCATCGGCATACAAAAGGCATATGCTACAGGGCAAGGTCCTGAGCCACCTGCATCCATCGACTTCCTGCATGTCTTACCAGGTCGTCACTGCACCTAGTGGCGGCTACCCCACACTTCACCTACCGGTACGAGGTTGCCACTCGAGAACCTTTGTTCTCCATATTATTAAACTATGATATATTACAAAACTAAACAAACCTTTCAGTTTAATTATATGGCATCATGTAACTTCATCATCATCATCATTACAGCCCTTCACAAGTCCACTGCTGAACAAAAGACTCCCCCAAGGAATGCCACAAGGCACGGCCCTAAGCCACCTGCATCCATCGACTGCCTGCATGTCTCTTACCAGGTCGTTACTCCATCTAGTGGGGGGTCGCCCTACACTACACATACCGGTACGAGGCTACCACTCGAGAACCTTTCTTCCCCATCGGTTATCGGTTCTTCGAGCTATATGGCCGGCCCACTGCCACTTCAGCTTACTAATCCGTTGGGCTATGTCGGTCACTCTGGTTTTACTGCGGATATCCTCATTTCTGAGTCTATCACGCAGTGAAACTCCGAGCATAGCCCTCTCCATAGCTCGCTGAGCGACCTTGAGCGTCCTCATACGGCCAGCGGTGAAGGACCACGTCTCAGATCCTTAAGTCATCACTGGCAACACGCACTGGTTATACACTTTAGTTTTCAGAGATTGAGGTATACCTGACGAGAAGATGTGTCGTAATTTCCCGAACGCTGCCCAGCCGAGTTGAATCCGTCGATTGACCTCTCGGTCGAAGTTGGACTTACATAGTCGGACTATTTGTCCCAGGTAAACGTACTTGTCAACAACTTCGAGCATAGTGCTCCCAACAACTACCGGCATAGGTGTGACATGGACATTAAACATGATCTTTGTTTTGTCCATGTTCATTTTAAGACCTATCCGTTGGGAGACACCATTGAGGTCATTGAGCATAGTGCTAAGGTCCTCCAGCGATTCTGCCATAAGGACTATATCGTCGGCAAATCGAAAGTGAGTGTTGCACTCGCCATTGATGTTAATACCGTATCCTTTCCAGTCCAGTAGCTTGAAAACGTCTTCCAACGCAGCGGTGAAGAGTTTCGGGGATATAACATCACCCTGTCTTACACCTCTCTGCAGTTGGATAGGTTTCGTACTCTGGTTCTGTACTCGGATAGCCATCGTAGCCCTACTGTACAAACATTTCAGCACTTCAATATACCGACAGTCAACTAGGCACCGCTGCAGAGACTGTAGCACCGACCAAATTTCGACGGAATCAAAGGCTTTCTCATAGTCCACATACGCCAGGCAAAGTGGCAGATTGTACTCTTCGGACTTCTGTACAATTTGCCGAAGGGTATGTATGTGGTCTATGGTACTGAAACCTTTTTGGAAACCGGCTTGTTCGGGAGGCTGGAAGTCGTCGAGTCTGCGTGCGAGACGATTCGTAATGACTCTCGAAAACAGCACGTAGACGCGGCTCAGAAGGACTTCAAGTACCGGTGTTCCACCCGCTTTCAGAAGCTCCGCTGTAATTCCATCCTCGCCCGGAGCCTTGCCGTTTTTAAGGTGGTGAATTGATGTAACTTACCTTTTAATTAATATATAATTTCATTTTTAAATATTATTTTAAGGTACAGTAAAACTTACTGTGGAAATATGACTCACTTTGCAACTTTTATCATATTTATACATTCAAATGAAGAGACAGGATTGAAGGTACTTTAATATTTAAGCGTAAAATTGTATGCAGAAGAGGAGAATAAATTATTCTAATAAGTTGGAGGTACACTGATGTAATAAGTGCAGCGTTACGGTGCTAATAATGTAATGTTTAATTCCATAATGAACAAACTCATTGGGAAAACGTCTTCATGTGCTGTATAAGCTATAACACATTAACCCTTCAATTCCCATAAAAAATCCCATGCAGTCTTATGCGTCCGGCAAACCCCGAGCGGTTGCATGCGACCGCACGCACCCACAGCATTTTAAACCATTAAAGCTTATATTTGGAGACTACTTTTCTATGAAGAAGTTTGGTATTATAAAATCTATACAAAATTCCGTATTCTTTGGTCTAAAAAAAGTCAGGTTTTACTTCATTACAAAAAGATTTTATTGTATTTTAATAACAAAAAATACACACCAAGAGGATCGTCGGAGGAGGAGGAGGTCGGCAGCGTGAAAATCATAATTATTACTATACATTACTCAAAATTATTTAGGTTAAAAGATAATTATAGTCACACAAAAAACTTTTATTACAATTTTATAATAAGATTAAAACAATAGAATAATCCTAAAATCAACACAATAACATTCACACGAAAATGGCGTACGAATTGAACGTAGATTAAAAATAAATATCCATAAATTAAGTAACTTTTTATTCCACTAAAGGATAGGAAATTTCATATTGCTTCTATAATGATAAACTTCTTTATAGAAAATTGAAGCAAAAAAGTAAAACAATATGGCAATATGGCAGGATTGAAAGATGACCTTATCACAAAAATTGATAGGGGGCGTACTCCAATGGTTTGGGCACGTTGAACGAATGTGTGAAGACCGAATTGTGAAGAATTTTCTTCACCATTCGGTCTTCACACATTATATATTTATATAGAGCGAAAGTAAATATTCAAAGGTGTCGAGGTAGACCGAGACTAACTTTCGAAGACCATGTGAACAAATTGCTCGAAGAGGGGAGGGTCAAGAGTACTCGGATACCTAGACGTGCATGTATGAAGAAGTTAATGAACCTGAAAGAAGCGAAAGAGGTATGTAAGGATCGTGACACTTGGCAATCTGTTCTCTCTGGCTACCCCGTTAGGGAATGTGCGTGAAGATAAGTAAGTAAGTAAGTAAGTATAGAAAAGTAGTCTCTAAACATAGAATTTATGAGTTGAAGTGCTGTGGGTAGTTGCAGTCACATTTGACCTCTTGAATTTTGACGGAATATCGAAGCGGTCAAATATGGACGCTTGCCGTTTGAGAGGTTAATGATTCACCTTGCTGTCTTGCCGTCGATGTAAATTTCAGAATACGCTAGCAACGGTACCCTATCCACCAGCTCCAATCATCACACTTGTCTAGTTAATTTACGATAGCAATTAAGTGCTGATTTATATACATATAAGCTGTAACTTTGCTTTGTACAATTCACCACCGTGTTATTGTAATTAGATGCGAAGCCAGATGCTGGCAAATTATTTATTTTACTATGCGAACAAACAGAAACGACTAAGCACACCGTTTGGTTCAAATGCCTGCTGATAACAACGAAGGGGAAGAAGACTGACCTAAACTTTTCAAGCATGTGACTGTTCAATGGAGGTAAGAAGAGGTCGAAATTGAATCATGTAGCAAAATTAAAATTAACTCCCACGACTCATATGACATTGACAGAATTCTGTTATAAGGTAGGCCACAATGTAAAGAAGAAAACAGTAAGAACATGTTCATTCGTTATTACAAAAAATATACAGAAAAATCATGTTAGTAAATCTCTTATCAGAATTAAATATACACACGAATCCTATATTCTATCTAACTGAGCAAAAAAATACCTGTATATATATAAGTACCTGGATGACCGAGTTTTTCTCGGTGTTTTTTTTTTTTGAAATTATATTTAGATAAATATTACATACTGATGAAACATGAATAATATTTTTTGACCTCATTGATATAATAAAAAAACTGAAGGTTATTTGAATAAAAAATCAGGAGTGCAATTAGTTTTATTTGAATTTTTGTATTTTTAAAAAATACTAAAAAAAAGGCTCGAAATTATATGTATTTTTATATTTATTTTATGTTATTGATATTTATGTATATTTATCTTTTCATTTTCATTTATAATTATATATTTATAGAACCCAACCAGATGGGAAAACTATATTTATACCCCCCCATAATAATAATTCTGTATGACGAGAACCTCGTGAAAGCCGAAACAGATAAAGGAACAAAATATCTGGACCTGGCTCACGAGGTGACCGACATGTGGGGTGGTATGCCGGCCGAAATTATTCCTGTAGTCGTCTATGTGAATGGGCTAATCCCAGTCAGCCTCTCGGGTCATCTGAGGCGACTGGGACTCCATGACGGACCGCTCCGGGCTCAAATGCAGAAGGCGGTGCTCCTCGATACCGCTCCCATCGTCCGCCGGTTTCTTTCCCTTTCCTCCTAACCCTCGGCCGTTTGGTCTTCCCTGTCGAGGGCTCCCATCTGGTTGGGCTTTTATTTATGAATTTTCGTATATTTACCTTTTCATTTTAATTTATAATTATATATTTATAGAACCCAACCAGATGAGAAAACTATATAGATACCCCACATAATAATAATAAAAAGGCGTAGGGAAGTGACGACCCCATCGCCCGCTGATATAACGGTTATGTGACAAAACCGCTACGTCGGCGCAGTCAGTCAGCACCTTGCCAAGAGGTGTTAGTGCCGTGCCTCGGCAAAAATTGAAGGTGCCAAGGCCCGCTTGTGCACATGGCCTAACCATGAAACGGCGCCGGGTCTGGGCGTCTCTCGCTAAATGACGCCCTAAAATGGATGATGGAATCAAATGGAACGCGCAAAGGGCCGCTGCCTGGAGGTCGCCAGGGCGCGTCTGGAGCTGGCGCTGGACGCGACAGCATGCGAACCGCCAGCCGAGCGCGAGGTGCTGCACGACCACCCAGCAGCTCCTCGCATCCATCATCCCCACCAGCTGGCTTGGTGTCGGCAGGGTCTTCGCGGGCTCAGCAATCGGCACCCGCCACTGGTGGAGTACGCCGTATGCGTTGGACAACCCAGATGAACATCAACGCATTGCGGGCGTATTTTAGGGCGAAAGGGGGAGAAACTGGAGGTTTTGCGTATCGGGCAAGGATGCATCGACTTTTTGCTGAGCTGGAGCCATCTGTAACCGTCACCGAGCAAAACCTGGCAGACCGAGTTCGGTATATCTTGCGCTCAAATACATTTGATGTCACCGAACTCGAACGGCTACGACGTGAGGCTGTTCCTTCATCGGGTGAAAATGCTGCGGCTGAGGATGCGGCGCCACAACTTGCTGAGCAAACGGCAAACGTGGAGGCCGCCGTGAATACTCCAGTTGTGGTTGATTCAAACGATAATGGAACAGTCGCACAGGAACTGGAACTAGAGCAAATGAGGAGTACATTGGAAGAGGCGATTGTAGAAACGCGCAGTACGACTCTCGAAAATCGACCGCGACTTCCCCGCATAGCCCTAAGCAAGCGGAATCGGGCTGTCGTGAGGGCTATGAACCCAATGCTGGTTACCTATTTAGAAGCCAGCCGGGACCTTTGCGAGACGGACTCAATTCTTTTTGGCGCCGCACTGGCAGTCTGCCGTATTATAGGTGCCAAACTTTCCACGGCTGGACGCGCTACTGGACAAAGTAGTGCTATCCCAGCCTGGAGAATAAGAATTGAAGAACGTATCGCAAAGGCTAGGGCCCTCATCGGCAGAATGATATGCTTCAGGTCAGGCAATACCAGGCCAAGGATTGTGCGCACCGTCAGGATGGCGTTTGCTGGGACAAATGTTAGTTTGTCCCAGCCGGATATAATGCAAAAACTGACGGAGCGCATAGACGACCTGAAGCAAGGAATAGCTGCTTGGGGAAAGCGGATTCGGCGATATACCGAGAGGTCGACACGGTTCAACCAGAGTCGTCTCTTCCAGAGTGATCAGAAGAGGCTCTATAAATCATTGGAGCGACCAATAGTAAGTGGAACGGGCCCTGCACCAAATCAGGCCGACATGGTCGCATTCTGGCGCAGCCTGAGGTCAGAGCCCGTAAACCACAACGAGGGCCCTTGGACGGAAGTTGTGGCGAGTCAGTGTGCGAGTATTACGCCCATGGACCCCGTCATCATAACGCCGGATGACGTAGCTGAGGCGGTCCGTAGGGCCCCGAACTGGAAAATTCCGGGGCTTGACGGGCTGCATCACTACTGGCTGAAGGGGTTCATGGTGTGTAACTCTGTGCTCGCCCGACAGTTTCAAGAGGCTCTCAACCAGAAGTCGCTCCGAAGCCTCTTCACTACTGGGATCACTCATTTGGTTCCTAAAGATCAGGGTGCCACAGACCCGAGCAAATACTGCCCCATCACGTGTCTACCGACCATATACAAGACACTAACATCCATTTTGAGCGCAAGAATCGCTCGTCACCTGGACTTAAATCAGGTGATGTCGCGCGCTCAAAATGGATGTCGGGGGAAGCGGTCGTGGAACCAAGGAACCACTCCTCATTGACGCGGTCATTGGCAAAGTGGTGAAACGCAACCGTCGGAACTTCTCCGCCGCCTGGATAGATTACAGAAAGGCATTTGACTCGGTGCCCCATACATGGCTAAAGAGGGTCCTCGAGCTGTACAAGATTGACTGTACAGTTCGAGACTTCCTCGAGCAGTGTATGGGGCAGTGGAGTACGATCCTCTGTCATCTAGGCGAGCAGATGACGGCTGCGGAAAGCCGCATAAGGATAAGAAGGGGTATATTCCAGGGCGACTGTCTGAGTCCAATCTGGTTCTGCCTCTCTTTGAACCCTCTCAGTACTTTACTGGAGGGCTCCGGGAGGGGATTTCAGCTTCGGAAAGGAGGTACAAAAGTGACCCACCTTTTCTATATGGATGACCTCAAATTATTCGCCTCCAGTCGCTCCCATCTCATGGAATTGCTAAACATCACGTGTGAATTTAGCAATTCTATTAGAATGGAGCTGGGGACGGATAAGTGTGCGGTCCTCCATGTTGAAAGGGGAAGGGTTGCTAACTCTGAGGGCATAGACTTATCTATGCCCGTCAACTTAAGAACCCTTTCCGAGGCTGAAACATACCGATACCTGGGTATGTCACAGAACATCGGTATCGATGAGGCTGGTATGAAACAGTCAGTTTGCGACGTGTTTTATGCACGCTTGACCAAAGTGCTTAACAGCCTTTTGTCCGGTGTGAATAAGGCACACGCATATAACGGTTGGGTCATGCCTGTCCTCATGTATACCTTTGGCATACTCAGGTGGACTCAGCCTGAACTTAACGCCCTGGATAGAAAAGTCCGCACTACCATGACGTCCCATAGGATGCATCATCCGAGATCGTCGGTAATGAGGCTGTACTTGCCGCGGAAGCATGGTGGTCGTGGCTTCTTGAGCGCGCTCACCATGCATAATCGCGAAGTGTGCAGCCTCCGTGATTACTTCCTGGCGAGATCGGATGATCCATTCTATAAGGACGTCATTTCTTGTGATAAAGGACTTACCCCTCTATCCTTAGCCAACGAGCAATGGCAAGACCTGGCAGTGCAGAGCATTTCCGACCGGGAGACCGTATGGAAGGAGAAGGAGCTCCACGGGAGGTTCTACAAGGCTCTACATGAGCCTTTCGTAGACACAGTAGCCTTCCTCCACTGGCTACCCTTTGGTGATCTCTTCGGGGGAAACCGAGGGTTTTGTCTGTGCAATACAGGATCAGGTTATGAAGACCAACAACTATCGGAGATACATCCTAAAGGATGGCACCGTCGACATCTGTCGAGCTTGTCGCCACCCCGGTGAGTCACTTAGGCATGTTATCTCCGGTTGTTCGGCGCTTTCTAACTCTGAGTACTTGCACAGGCACAACCTAGTAGCCAGAATTCAACACCAGGAGCTCGCTCTGAAATACGGTCTCGTGGATCGGAAATTGCCGTATTACAAGTACTTGCCGGAAGCCGTGCTCGAAAATGATCGCGCCAGGCTCTATTGGGACCGGGCCATCATCACAGATAGGATTATTCTTGCGAATAAGCCTGATATTGTGCTGATGGACCGGGCACAGTCAAGGATATTTTTGGTCGACATTACCATTCCGTATGACGAGAACCTCGTGAAAGCCGAAACAGACAAGCAAACAAAATATCTGGACCTGGCTCACGAGGTGACCGACATGTGGGGTGGCCTGCCGACCGAAATTATTCCTGTAGTCGTCTCTGCAAACGGGCTAATCCCAGTCAGCCTCTCGGGTCATCTGAGGCGGCTGGGACTACGTGGCGGACCGCTCCAGGTTCAAATGCAGAAGGCGGTGCTCCTCGATACCGCCCGCATCGTCCGCCGGTTTCTTTCCCTTTCCCCCTAACCCTCGGCCGTTTGGTCTCCCCTGCCGAGGGCCTCCATCTGGTTGGGCTTTTACTTATTTATGTACTTTTATATTTATTTTATGTTATTGATATTTATGTATTTTTATCTTTTCATTTTCATTTATAATTATATATTTATAGAACCCAACCAGATGAGAAAACTATATAGATACCCCATAATAATAATAATAATAAGCTTTTTAAATGTCTCATTTTACACATGTTATTAAAAATTTACAAATAGGAATCATCACAAACTTAACTTAGAAACATACTTAAGTAACATAACAGTAATGAGACGAACTGGCCTGTGACTCAGCTATGTGGTGATTTAGGTCACCGCTGGTATTCTGCCACAGCCGACTATTTTAAAAAACACAGCATATTAACCTAATTTTGGCATTGACGTAATACAACCAAAAAATAGACTAAAATATTTATTCATATGTGCTATGCAAATTTAGTAAGTAGTAGGTAAAGGAGACAATCGCCTCTGGGCCTACCAGAAACTTCAACGACTCTCAATGGTATTAGTAAGAATTAAGTCTGTACTTATATATAATACTTCATACCTGCCTCCAACTTTTGTTGTTCAAGTAGCCATACTTTACAATTCTTTCTAAATACATTTGTATTTTGTTATGTATACGGTAGGGGAGCGAGTTAAACGGCCGGTAGCTTGCTATGCACTGGTTTAATAACAGAGGGCGCGTGGGCACAGCCACGCATTTTAATACATAGCTATACAAATGTATATACATACATAACAATTCCCCACCCTATTTTAGAATACAAGAATAAAATAAATTATAATAAAAGACGACAACTATAACCTAAAAGAAACGCTTATAATCAACCTTGGGACGGGGGCGCAGTCTATTTCTAGTGGCTTCGATTCGACCATCATTAAAATCTGCTTCTGTTTCGTGGAACTCGTCATCCTCCTCCGACCGAGGCGGCACAGGGTTCTCTACTTCATCACTTTCCCCACGACGTGGCGAACCTTCTCGTTCTGCCGTGGTAACTAGGCCGGGGTCTTTGGTAGACGCCGGATGAAGTGGTGACGATGATGATGGTGATGGTGATGGTGATGGTGATGTCGGCAGCGATGGCGGTGGTGTAAAAGTGTTTCCGGTGTCGCAATTGTTCCCTTTCTCGTAAGCGTCCACGTCCCATGCGTTACAGTCATCACTTTGATCTTTATATAAAATTAATTGATTTTGATGCTTTCGATAACATATTTGCGTGTCCCAATCTTTTACTAAGTAGATAACTTTGCCAATTCTTTTTGTTATCGTTCCCTTACACCAGTTAAACTTGTTATTTATATATTTTTTATATAAAACGAAAGTTCCAGGTAGCATTTGTTTAATACGTACTGGTTCTTCCTTATGTGAACATTTTTGCGCATTTATTAAATCGGATGAAGCCGCAGACGTAGACAGCGATGACGTAGGTACCAATCTGTCTAAGCGCGAGTTTAGCTTTCGCCCAAAAATCAACTCGGCGGGTGACATGCCGGTGGTCGAGTGCTTTGAATTCCGGTAATCAAACAAAAACTTTAATAAATTGTTTTTTGATTGTTTTGTGTTGCTGCTGGACATAATACTTGATTTTATACCCTTTTTGACTATTTTTACATAACTTTCGGCTTGACCGTTACTTGCCGGGTGATACGGTGGGGACGTAACGTGTGATATCCCGTTTATTTCACAGAAACGTTTAAATTCTTGTGAAGTAAACGCTGTTCCATTGTCACTTACAATCGTTTGCGGTATGCCGAACCTAGACATGAATTCGTACATCTTTTCAATGACTGTATCGGAGGAAGTAGAACTAGCTGTATCGTATATCTCCGGCCATTTAGAGTACGAATCAATGACCACTAAATACATTCGACCGGCTATGGGACCCAGGAAATCCATATGTACGCGGGTGAAAGGGCGGTGTGCCCGAGGCCAGGGGGCCGGCGGCGCGCGCGGAGGGGGATGGCCGCAGATTGATGCATACCTCACATGTCCCTATCATATGTTCTACGGCCTCATCTACACCCGGAAACCAAAATCTGGATCGAACTTCGGCCTTGGTTTTTACGATACCCAGATGTGTTTTGTGTAACTCAGCTAACACCCTTTTACGCAACGTCTCGGGAATCACGACCTTATGACCTCTCATTAAGCATCCATTTTCAACCGAGAATTGCGTTCTACATGAAAAATAAGGCTTAAGGTACAAATCAGTTATTTTCTTAGGCCAACCGTGTTTAACATATTCGGTTACTTTAGATAAAATTTTGTCCCTTTTTGTTTCATCTCGTAGTTCCGAAACCGTAATCGGTAAACTCGTGTCGACCACAAAACACACGTAAGCCGCGCGGTCGCTCGAAGTGAAGTCGTCCGCAGTGCACTTATCGAGTGCGCCTGCACCCGTGTCGGGCGCGCGCCTCGCTTCCGAAATACTTGAGCGAGACAAATAGTCGGCGCTGTTATCAGCGCTTCGTATATACTCGATCGTATAGTTATACGCGCTTAGAAACATTGCGTACCTCTGTAGTCGATTCGCCGATACTTCCGGAATGCCTTTATACGGCCCGAATATCGAAATTAGTGGCTTATGATCTGTTCTTAATACGAACGGATTTGTTCTACCGTACAAATACTGATGGAAGCGCCGAACTCCAAATATAATTGCGGTCGCTTCTTTCTGTATTTGTGAATATTGTTTCTCTGCGGTATTTAGAGTTCGCGATGCAAACGAAATCGGTCTTTCTTGCCCGTCGGAACCTACTTGCGACAGTATCGCAAGCCCAAGCCAACCGGAGACGCGTCTACAGTTAGGATTAGCCTTGCTTC